TAATCGGTTTTATTTTTTTAATGTTATTGAGATATTGTTTTTTTAATAACCAATCAAATTTATGGATCGTCTGGTTATGTTTCTTCAGATAAAATTTGTCTAATTTTAAATATTGTGTGTCAAAAAATTCTTTATATATAGACTTTGGTAGACTTTGATAATTTTAAACAAAAGATTCACATCTGAAATGATACATATACGTAGACAAGAAAATAGCTTGAATTTACAAACTGACACGGAGAATTTGAACTCAGCATATGAGTGTTTATTGGCTAAAGTTTAGGTTTCAATCTCTTTGTTATTTATAATTGACGGTCATGCGTATTACATGTAAACCGAAGATAAAATAATCGACAAATTGTAAACGAGAGCATTTGCCTGTTGACGATAGACATGAAGAGTAGCATGATTTTCATACTAACATACTAACATTATATCATGTAAGTAAATATCAATTTTTAATTTATAATTAAACTATTACTGATAAATAACATTGATAATGTAGTGTTCTAGGGAGCACATTGATGTAACTTAGTAACGAAGAAATATTGATAAGGATCCGATACAAGGATCGAAACGTATATTTGAATATAATAAAGAATTTGACACACAATTACACCTAGTGTTTAGACTCGATTTGGCATTGATACACTATCTTCTTCCATCATGGCTACGTATTATAAACTATGTTTACATGGCTCGATTTACATCAAAGTTATAACATCGATATTATGAAATCTGGCTAGTCATAGCTATTCCTCTGAATAGAATAACTGTGATTGGCCAGTTTCATAACATCGATGTTATAACTTCGGCGTAAAGGTGCCATTTTATGGGACGCTAAAAAGCAACGTCAAACGTGTCACGTGACCATCTTCTGTGACACTGCGTTAAGAAGAAGTTGGATTTGATTCGACTTCTAGCGTCAATGTGACAAGCAAAATAGACAGGTCGGAAATACAGGGATATATACAAAAAAGAAGAACACGATAAGCAAAGTGGCTAAATTTAGATTTAAACAAGATGGAATCTGAAGAGAAAGTATTTATTTATAAATAAGTTTATCATATTAATTGTTTATTCTAAAATTATTCAATTTTTTTGGCATTTTAAAATAAAAAGTTAGATTAAATCTGCAGAATACCCAAACAGCAACGTGTCTGTCTTGTTGCTAGCATGTTGCTTGCTAAGTATGTGTTGCTACTAGAATTGCAGCAACTGAGTCTTCAATTGTTGGCAATTTGATGCTTTCACGATATGATAACATTGAGTAGCAACTTGCCAGCAATTTGCCGGCCATTTTAAAATTATCATCACAATTGTATTATTGCCATCATGTTGCCACAATAATATGCAGCATCATACAATGCAGTCATATTACCAAAAATACAAGATAACATTGATGCAGCTATCTTGTTGTTAAACTGCTGGCAGTACATATGCACATTGTTGTCTGCATGTTACTACAATGTAGGTATATTTGAAATCGTTGAAAACAAATCTACGGCAAGTTGTCAGCATCATAAGCAATCACAGATTTGCGCGATTTTGTTGAGACACGCTTTGCTGTCTGGGTATACCTATTAATTTGGATGAAAGTATCGAAATAAATAAGATATAAATAAAAATATTTATAAAACATAATTTTAATAGTTATTTAACATTCTAATATCCATACTAAAACAAAAAAAATTTTAAATACAAACGTTATATTAAATTAGAGGTTATACTATGCGATATATTATATATTCTTCTATCAATATAATAATTTTCGTAACTTTCGAAAATATTAATTTTAAATATTTAGTACAAATTTTACATAATATTGGATATTAATTTTAAATATCATTTTCATATCTTTTTTCTATCAAATTCCGTAATAATGTCAAGTATTCAAATTAGTTCACAAGTGTATATTTTCTATATTTCTACTCTATCACTGCAAAGACTGAAGACTAGACTGCCGCTGACACTGACTTAACTCTTAAGGTAAATTTTCACGGGCTGCTCAAACCGGCTGTTTCAGCGACAAAAAGAATCACGTGGTTAAAATTGACGAATATCAAATGTCCATTTTGATCACGTGATCCTTTTTGTCGCTAAAATAGCCGGTTAGAGCAGCTCGAGGCCCGTATTCAGAACGCGCTTTTATCGATAAAAGCGCATATTTATCTCTGAAATTCTATAATATACGTGACGTAAAGTATAGTATGTTAGCGCGCTAATATCATTGTAAGCGCGTTCTGAATACGGGCCTTAAAATATAACACTATAACCCTTTTCATGCACTTTTCGCTATTCAGAGGCAACTTCGATCACGTGACCCACTTTGACGCTGAAAATGAGCGTCGAGCGTCAGCATGAAAAGGCCTTAAATCGAGCTGTGTAAACGTAGATTTTTGACTGATTCTCTTTCTTATTTCAAACTCGAAATTATTCTATATCATCATGTATATATACAGCAGATAAAATGGACAAAAATGATCTTGAAACTTCCTATTGATATTTCACATAATTCTGTCGTTATTGAAGAAGTTGGCATCGCGTACAAGATTATGGATATTATAACTATTTTATATTCTGGATAAAAAAAGTAAAAGAACTTGTACATGCCATATATAACGAGACAAAGAAGAAAAAGATTAAAATTATCTACTTGTAATGCATATCACATATGACAAATGTGTGCGAGGAAACTTATTAATATTAAGCGAATATACACAATGACTAGTCAGGAACGAAAAAGTGGCAATTATTACAGAACTTATTTATGTTTTGTATACGGGGTACGTCTCTCTATACTGTCGTTACCCGAGTGGATCCTGTGGTTATTTCTGTGTAGCAATCTATCGTTTCTAATTTACCCTGCTCCTCATTCGATTTAGTTTTGGCCGCTTGCGATGGAATGTCTGAGTTTGGATTGTAGTTGAAAGGCGATACGATTGCTGAAGCTGGCATTCGCACACCGCTACTGCTGTCCTCCGCTGTTGTCATTGGGTCCACTCGAATAAAAGAACCAAGTCTGGATATTCTTTTGGTGAGATCCGTTTCTGCTGCGAGGTCAGCGCTCGGTTGCTTCTTCATAGTCACTAGAATATCACTCAACTGTGTGATCTCTCGCTTGTACGTTTCTTGTACAGAAGATTTCACTGGTATCTTGCAGGGCGCTTCATAGGCATTCATATTTGTGAAATCGCAAGAGTTCCTGTACTTGAGACCGTCACATTCAATCTGCGTGCCTAAAACCGGTTGTCGGTTGGATTTGGATTTGCAGGATATTTCGCCGTTATTGCCGTCCTCCTGGGAAATTCCTTCGAACGTGGAACTGCGGAATAGTCTGTATGCTGGCAGGTTATTGAACGTGCCAGCGGTTGCGACGTTTACCTCGGTGGCGCTATTAGTGGGCCTTATCCATTGCCTAGTGTCTAGTTTCTCGAAACGCTGCTTATTCTTGTTCTCCTCAACTTTCTTCCAAAGATTCGCAATCTTACTCGTTGCCTCCTTCGCCAACTTACGATTTTGTACGCTCATAGGTGAATTAGAAATTATGCTGGAATTACTATTAGATCGTTGTCCCAGTGAATTAATCTTTCGAACAGTTTTGTCATTCTGCAACGCATTACCATTAAGAACTTTTGTTGATACACCTATTTTTCCAGATGATATTTTTTTCGATACCATTAACAATCCTTTAGATGATTGCATCTTTTCGGAATTGTTAACCATAATTTTTGGCTGATACTCTTGTTGCGTTTTCACGGAGATTTTGGATTTACCCGCTGCCGAATATATCCTTGATGAAACATCTCTAATTGGTTTGGCGATCTTCGTCTTTATTGGGGAAGACGACGCGGAATGCACTGTCGGTGCATTATCTACCTCTGGCTCGTCCTTTGTAAAAGTTCCTTGACGTTCCAATAGTTTAATTGGGATTTCTGACGGTTTGCTGTTATTTTGATAGTTCGATGAGCAAGCCGGAAGTGTACTATGACGCTTAGTGGGTTTTGTGGAAATTAACATGGATCCCCTTTGAGGTATAGAGGCCCTTTTGGAAACAGTCGCCAAATTTCGTGTCTTCTTCTCTATGTCCACGGAAAACGAAGTCCTCTTCGGGCTCGTATTAGATTTCGGAGAGTCCTTCATAGCAACCATTGTACTATTATTATTCTTTCGCAAAGTAATAGTTCTAGTAGCTCTAACAATGGGTGAAGTATTGCTGCGACCTATTGGTATCCCGCTGACAGGGTTCACTTGCTTCAATGGTGAGGATTGTGGGGTCGGCTTTCGCGTTATTGGGTTGGAATATAGTGCCTTTCTTCGTCCTCGAATAGCTTTTGGACTTTCTGGCTCGGATTTATCCGTCCCAGTGGAATCCATACTCGGATCTCTATCTAGCGTTGGCGGCTTGATTATTCGTGCTCTTTTTGTTTCTCTAAGTTCTTGTCCTTTATCAACGCAATTGGACTCCCCATCACTGCCTGAATCAGCTGGGTTTGTCAAGCCCAGATTCTCGTAAGCGACTTCTATATGCTCGTCTTGCAATTCCTCATTATCAATATTCGCCATGGGAGTTTGAGCGTTATCGTATTGTGTACTTATCAATTTTTTTGGAAGTCCGTTTACGAAACGAATTTTTAGATTATGATTTGACTCGGAATCATTCAACTCCAAAGTAGTCTCGCAACGCAAAATATTGGCGGTTGTATCATTAGTTTTATTTGACTCATTTAGAGTGTTTAGCACGATAGTGGTATTCTGTTCTAGCATGCTTTGAATTTCCTCCCGCACGTATTCTTGCGCACTTGCTTGCCCCTTTTCTATTATGCCGACAATCGAAGCTTGATTTTCGGAATTGCATTCCATCTCTTTGAACACAGTTTCTGAATCGTTCAACGTCCTTGTACGATATCTCTCCTTGTTTTCTTGCGAATTCCCGTGTTTCCTTCTCATTGCTTTACACACGGGCAACTTCGTGAGCATAGGAATTGAAGACTTGACGGGGGATATAACTTCCTGTTTCTCAACAGCGTCTTCAATGGTCTTAGTTTGGACGTTCAGATCCGGAAAAGGATTCCCTAGTACTTGTGTCTGGAATCTCGCTCTATTCTCTGCCCTGCGTTGTTTTGGCGTTAGTTTCGAGAAAGGAGAACATTTTCTACTTAGAATTCTATTATCTGCATCGTTGACAATATCGTCTTGTTTTCGTCGTTCTTCCTCTTCTTTCTTGATGATTTCTGCGGCAATGGTATATGTCTTGTATCTCTCTTTCGCTAAGTTTCGTTTTTGTTTCGGGGTTAAATAGCTTATCGAATGCAATCGCTTCTTCGGCGTCGATTCAGCCGAGCTGCTAACGCAATATTCTGACGAGATTGGCGTGACTGCCTCGTCAGTACCGTTCTCTGCTTCATCAATCACCTCCGCTACGATCGAGTGCACTACTTCATCAGTGTGCAACTCCATATCTAGGCACAAAGTGTCGCTGCACATAATGTCAGTAGTTGCTTCCATCGTGGATTCGTCCATTTCAGTCACCTCATTGAACAAGGACGGTGGATTGATATTCTCCAAATATTCACTCAGACTGTTACTCGTACTGTTTTGCATACCCTCGACATAACGCATGCATGTCATGGACAGCACGTTGGCAACTGGTTTCAGCATTTCGAACACTGCTGGATCGCTGCCAGTCAAATTATGTAAGACTTGTTCTTTCGAATCCGCGATCTCCGATGTAATGCTAGCCACGCTTAACATGCTATTCTCCATATCACCTACATCCGGTAGTTCGTCCATCATGGATGGTGGTTTGACATTCTCCAAATGTGAGCTGGTGCATTCGTTCAGCAGATTTTCCAAGCTAGTCATGTGGCTCTGACCTTGACCCAATGCTCGCTTGGCTACCACGCCAACTGGCAAGGACTTCTTCCGTATGTTGCGAGAATCATTAAAATTTCTCACTGGCGCCGGTGGCAGCGACGTTGAATAACACCTATCTCGGTTGATCAACGTCTCAGTATTGTCAGCAGTGCCAGCGTAACTTGCCGTCAGTGAAAGTAAACTTCCCATCGAGGACGGTGGTTTGATCGCCTCGAGGTCGATGGATATCGGACTCGTTGTTTCGAGCTCGTTCTGGTTATTTATCTCTGCATCCACCGCTTCTGCTAATTTGATAGCCTCGCGTTGGATGATTTTTGACTCTGTCATGTTAATCTGCTCGATATTCTCTGATATTGTAGTACGCTGATCTTCCTGTGCGTCGCTGTTGAATGAAGCAACCAACGGTGCACTCATGCTAATGCTGGGAAAGGAAATGTCATTGGGCGAATCCTCATTCCATGTGTCGCACGTTAGACTCTGTTTCATTGTACTGGAGTCTCGTTCACGTATCGCTTCAGTTTGTTGAACCAGTGTTGCCGTCAATCGATCTAACGAAGCAATCATAGCATCGGGATCTCTCTGTCGTCTATATGTCTCTTCTTTTGTATGTTTCTCTGCGCAGTCGCGATGAAGAACATCTAAGGTCCTCATGATTTCAAAGGTTGTTTCTGATTTGCCGTCCATATTATCCGCAATCTCAGTTTCATCATTATTTTTTTCTTTTATAATGTCCATTTGTTTGTTGTATAGCTTTAATTGCGACTTAATATAATCTGCGTTACTTTGGTTCAATGTGATGTTGCCTTCGGATTTTATACCGGATTGAATACATAATTTTAAAAGCGCATGTTCAGACTGTTCGACGGAGTCGATCGATTCACTGTTTTCAGAATCTTTTGATTGCTTCATAAATGATATATCTGTGAGTCGAACATCAATTATTGCTTCGTCTAATCTAATGGAGCTATTTTGATCTCTGCCACGTTCATCAGTTATGACAAAATCATTGGAAACGTTTTTATCTAAAGATGTATTGGATGTCTGTAATATAGATATTGCTTCTTCTGAGAGATTATTGCTGAGATTATTACCATTTACTGTTTTCATGGTGTTATTTGATTTCTCATTATGCATATTATTCATGTTTGTCGTTATCTGTGAACAAAATACTTTTTAAAATATAATTAAAATAAGTATTATATATAATATAATATAGTGTTATGAAAAATTAATATTAAAAAATTAGTCTGAAATATTCTTACTGTGACTGTTTCCGTTTGAAGATTCTTTTTAGATAGTTTTTCATTGTTATCTTTTTTGTCTTCTCTATTTTCATGAGACTCTACGTACTTTACATTAAACGGTGAACTATCGGACATTACAGTTCCTTTATGCTCGACTTGGTTTAAAGCAAGACTAGTTTGATATCGAGTCAGATTAGTTTCTAATCGAGGAAGTTTTTCGAGATTATTTCCTATAAAGGAATGTCTATGCCTATAAAATAAGACAATTTCGTGAAAATTGTAAAGTAACAAATTACGTAAGTGCCACAGTAATAATTAATATTTTACCGATTATTTTGCATTCCAATGTTAATACAAGCGGCTAGTAAATCCTCATCATCCTCGTCTCCGTCGCTAACTTGATCTATATATATATCCAGAAAAATTGTTTTGTATTTACTGAATTAGTCTATTTTTCCACAATTTTCGCGCGCGCGGAATTATATATACTACTTACATCCAGAATCATTATTGGAAATCTTTAAACTAGTACTGTCAGCTGAGAGTTCAATATGACTCAATGGTAAATCTTTATTTACTTTATTTGGTTTGGAGTCTGCAAATTTATATTATTTGTGAGGAAGCCTGTTAAATCTGTTTAAGTTATACGAAATATTTAGGCTAAGTAAAATGTTTAAATTACCAAGATTATTAATCCTAGAGCTGGATTCCCCATTATGATCATCATTATATTCAGAATTTTCTAATATCATTGAAATTGGCGTCGTTCTTACACTGCGCAAATATCACGAAAACAATTATTAAAAAACACACATATTCTAATATAATATAATAATTCATTATTTAAAGCTTGATGGATTCTACATAAATATGAAGTATCATGTTTATTTAGAAAGCATAATTACCTTGAATGACTTTGTACAATTGCATCTTCTCGATTGCCTTTTTGCTTGCTTTGATCTTCAAGATATGGTAACAAACGATTTGCACTCTCATCGTCCGTAAGATGTGTCACGTCTCGTAAATTCAACTCCATTTCCGATTTGGCAAAGTCGTTCAGTTTTGGTACGTCCGTCAAGGACGGCGCTTTGCATTCACTGTGATCTTCTATATGCCTTACCTTATATCGTTCCGATAATTTCTTCGACAAGCTCCTTATACGATTATCATCCTGCAGATCGGAAGCGGAAGTGGCTCTAGATGAGTTCAAGGATGCGCGCGGCGTTCCCTCCGTGTAGTAAGTTTTAATTGTATCCTCGTGCTGAAGTCCTTCATCATTGCCTGAGAAGAAATCGGATTGCTTTTCGTCGTCTATAGTTTGCTCGCCGTATCGCAGACTATAATCGGTTGGTTGATCCAAATCTGTTTCAGCATAATCACCGAATAAATTATCGTCCGGACTTTGAACGATCGTTGCGGACGATATTGCTTTTTGAACACTGTTTAGCGTGTCATGTTGGCGCAATAAGACTTTTCTCGCGCTTTCTTTCATAGAAGGAACATCAGACAGGTCGGAGGTCGGCTTTGAATTAGCGACAACTGCATTTGTGGTTGTTCGATAATCCAATTTAATACGAACAGTCGCTTCGACTTCCTCGGACACGCTAGATTGACTACCAGCTTTGGACAAGGACGACATTTGATCGATCAGAGATATGTTGTTCTCGATGGAAGAGTGTAGCGAGATCTGAGAGGGTTCTTGATTAGGCACTGCAGCCCATGATATAGTAGAATTCGTGCATCTCAGCTTGTTTAATGTCGAACCGAAAACGTCAAAAGGTTTTAGTTGTTTCGGTATTGCGTTTTTATAACGCAGGGTGTATTTTCTCTCGGAGGAAGTGGTTCTCGGATGAACGTCGCCACACACACCGTTGTTGCCGAATCCGACAGCAGAATGCAACGATGAGGATTGTTGCTTAACCTGCGAGTCGGTGGGCGATATACCATTCAGAACATGACGATTTACCCGTTCGAACATAGTGTCGGAATGTGTGCTCGTCACAGAACGCATCGAATCTCTACTCTCGCTCCTGGCAACTCCGTTGCATTTGACAGTAGATGTGCTAGGTTGACTGTGCAACTGATAAGAGCGCAATCTATGAGCATTGATGCCAAGAAAGCTATGATCAAGTTTGAATGTGAATTTTTCGTTTTTGTTGGTTGGCGATGTGCTCGGCTCGATATTGTCACACGTTTCCGCCAGATTCTGGTCGATTTCCTGCTCTAGAGCCCGCTGCCTGCGAGCGACCAGGCTTGGCAAGGTTGACAGTCCCAGTCCTCGAGCGGTAGAGTCTAAGTGGACGAGATTGTTACAACCAGGTCTAGCGCTCAATAAATTTTTTAAGGCTGCACTAGAACCCATCGAAATCATTTTGTGCTTGGAGTGAACGAGACTGCGTAACATCGGTACAGCGCCCAGATCCCAAAGGAGACGTTGATCCTGGGAACATCGCGCGGACAGATTCCAGAGCGCTCCACAGGCATTACTGACTACTGTCAAGCTGGGCGATTTTAACTGTTGCAGGAGAACTTGTAGACAGCCCCTTTCTCTCACGATGGTTCGATGATCCTCTCGTACCGCCACGTGGCTCGATACGTTTCTCAAAATACCACCGGCATTTTCAACTATCGCAAGCGTCTTGGACGGCGCCTTGTAGCTCAGCATATCTACGAGAAAGGCTAGAGCACCGTCTACAGCGCAGATATCCACTTTATTCGTGCTGCAGTGGGCCGACAAGTTCCACAGAGCAGATAAGATTGATTTGAGGGTGGATTCCTTGCGGCCTTCCATGGCGGCTTTCATCAGGCCTGTCACCGCACCTACTTCTCTCAGAGTCTGTTTGCTGCTACTATCGGCACGCCAGGATAGATTTCTTAAAACGCTCGCTGTCACTTGCCTCAGGTCATCGCTAGAACTTTTCAATTGCGAGACTAACGCCTTCATAAATTCCTTGAAGGAACAGAGCAGTGCCTTATTATTGCCATCGCCGAAAGTCAAGTTGGTTAATGCCATTCCTGCATATCGTCGCAATGTAATGCAATTTTGATCATCGCTTTCGCTACCATGAATCAAATGATCCATCTCAATGAGTTCCGCGACGGCATGAAGACCGCCCAGCTGGCACATTGCGTGGCGATGAGCTTCATCGAAGGATAGTTTCATAAGCGCAGCTATCGTCGTCGCAGGGTGTCCTCTCTCGAGGTCATCTGTGAGCTGATCCTGTTCCAAAGACATTCTCAGATTCTGACAATAGTCGCGCAATTGCTCGAGGAATCGAAGCACTCGTGCTTCCCGGCGACCAGCTCTCTCGTCACTTTTGGCATGCACCACGTTGCGTAATGCCTGCATAGCTCTGTTTCGAGTGTCAGGATTTTGTCCAGGTGCGTGAATTAGTTGCACTAATAGCGGTAGGCAGCCTGACTGTCTCATCACCAGGCAACTGTCTATGGAAGTGCTCATAGAAAGCAAAGTCGTGCTCATATCATCTCGACCATTCTTTTCGAGCATACCGAGAAGATTGTACACCACGTCCACTTTGGCATCTAGTCGACGATGACCTTGCAGCTCCGTGGAGTTGCCTTCGAGACCCGTAGAGTTCAATGATGACGAGAAACTTATCACGCTGGCCACATCCTACACATGAGCATAGAATTTGGAGCAATGTTTTCATTTTTCCAGATAACATGAAACTGTTTAAAAAATGCCATTTCTTAGACATCTTTTTAAAGATACTTTCTGGAGTTTATACATTATTTGGAATCATAATACACTGAATATTTTAAAATTATTTCCCCAAAACTACTGAATGTCCTTTTAACAATCAAAAGGATAGGCGCAGGTTTTGGTATCCCGTATGGTATGAAAAACATTACAAATTGCAATATAATTTACGCCGTTATAACTTACATTTTGTGCAGGGAGTGATCTGCTCTGCTGAGTCGGAAAGCCAATTTGCTGATTAGCCCATACGTCTCTTCTGATGGGCCACGTTCCACGATACAAAGACGGTAGCCTGTGGCTAGGCAGGGAAGTGCTATTCTGTTTAGCTTCCTCCTCGCTGCCATCATCCTCATTGTAATATTTACTCCTCAAGCATAACTATAATTGCAAAAAATTTTTTTCCCGATTTCTGATCTCGTATTGCACGTAAGAATAGATTTTTTGCGATTTTATCAACGTGATCTTTTCTTTTGCAACAGTTTTTCAAGCTCAACAAATGATATGATGCGGTCATTTTATGATTTTTCTTGAAATATTTACACGATATAGAAAAACATTTGTTCGTTAATCTTAAACGTGAAATTTGTGACTTCATTTATTGACATTTTACAACTAAACTACTTTACTTAAACGTTCATGATTCAAATAAGATGTTTTTATATTTGCGAAACGTAAATTATTTCGGATAATATATACAAGAAGAAACATGCTGCAGCGTACTTGAAATTTTCAACATATTCACAAGTGAAAATAAATAGAGAAGCAATGCAACGCAGACGAATCTTGGAGGATGATGACTTATAAGGGTCAGACCCAGAAAGAGAAAAGATGGAACGACTTACAACCGGGGCTCAGGGAGGAAAAAGAAATGTACGTACATGTGCGCGAAAAAGGAAAATGTAAGTGTGAGTGAGCGAGTTAAAGAGAGAGAGAGAGAGAGTGAGAAGGGATGAAGGGGGAGAGAGGGGGGGACGGTGGATGACAAGTGCAAGACAGAGATGAAAGTCGAGGGCTTCCCATAAAATCAATACGAGATATGTTAGTGAAGGTGTATCGTGCGCCACGAGCCACGAGCATAAGGCAATTCGTAAAGCAGCGGTTTTCAACCTTCGTTCTTTTCACAGACGTTTTTATTAGTATTTAAGGAAAAACGCATGATTTCAAGATGTAATACATTGCAATTAGATGCAACCTTAATTTCTACGTCTATATTAAAATTAGATTTGAAACAGTGATAATATTCACATGTGCAAAAAACTGAAGTAAACTAAAAACATTTGTCAGATTAAATTCTTATAGTGTTATCGTTAACTTTTGCTGTGCTTCTAAATAACTGAAAACACTCTACGTTTGAAATCTTAATTCTAATTGTTTTTTAATTTTTTAAAATTCAGATTTTATTTAATTTTAAAGTAAATGTCATGTTACTGACAGAGTCTAAATGGAATAGTTTAATAATTTAGAAATAACAATTTTGTCTTGAGTTATTAATAGTGTATTGTAGATTCACAACAATGATATTAATATCGATATATAATACTACGTACATTATTCCAGGTATACAATTCGAATTTACCACAAATACATTAAGTCGCAGCGTGATTAAAGAGTTTCATTTTTAAAGAATCTTTTATGCGCCACTTTACTAGAGAATTTAAAAACCATTCTCTCTTACGTATGAATATAAATATATTCGGAATACTTTACATACACGCTGTTACGCATAATAAAAGATGCTCCCATAAAAAAAAGGCGAAAAAAACGCTACCTCGGGACTTGGCGTTGTCGAGCATCGTTCGTCTTCCTCCTTAGTCTCCGGCTCCATGGCATCCTCCTTGCTAGTCTCAGTGATAAGAGGACGATCCTGATAAATATACTGCGGTCTCGACGCTGCGGCATCGACGGCGACGGCGCCCTTCACAGCGGCGCATCTCTGTGAGGTGGCGGCAGCAACGACAGGGTTGAAAAATGCTGCTGCGGCGCCCGAGTTCAGCCTGCGCGATGACAGGGGTGATGGCGGCGACTGCCGTGCTTTCTGTGTATTCCATGCACTGGCGACGCCTTTCATCTCGATACCCGTCGTCGCCGCCGCTGTCGCTACCGTTGCCGCTGCCTCTATCGCCGATGATGAGCCGCACAATACGCGACCCTCCGTTGTGCGCGGTCTATCCCGGCGGGTTTCCGCGGATTCTTGGAAAGAGAAAAGTGCATCAGCGGAAGCGAAAATGGTGAGCGAAAATAGTAAATATAAAGGGAAAGAGATCTTCTTAGTTTCCTAAGATTCGAAATTTCGTGAAAAAATAAATAATAAATAAATAAAAATTTGAACGGAAAATAAGAATCGAATTATAAATTAAGAAGAAAAACGATTATATTACATATTTGCTATTCTGATCGTATATGTACCATTCGAAAAAATTGATTGTCTATATTCTTTTTGTAAAATAGTAAGGCCCTGCACACAATAGAAGGAATAAGGAATTAGGAATAAAGATTAAACGATTTTAACCTATCAGAAATCGAATACATCGGAATACACGGTTTTTGATAGGTTGAAATTGTTTATTTTTTATTCCTAATTTCTTATTCTTTCTATTGTGCGCAGGGCCTAACGTTACATGTTTCGGCTGCAAGATCGAGTCTTCCTCAGATGTTCAATAGTTATGACGTAGTAAAATAGATGCAGTGAAAACAATAAACGTTGATTCGTGATGAGGAGAGAATGTCCAGTAAGCCATGAGTAATTTCCAGAGCGAACATAAGAGGTTTGTTTTTTATTACTGTACTCTCTGAACTGGTGCACACGATGCAATAAATTGAAGTGAAACAAATATACCTTTGTTTCACTTCAACTTATTGCACCGTGTGCACCAATTCAGAGAGTGCAGTAATAAAAAACAGATCTAATTGTTTACAAACAGTTGCTCGACCGCCCACTAAACAAGAAACATTTCAGTAACGTTACAACGTTGCTGCAACATTACTGAAATGTTTTGGAACGTTTCTTGTTTACTATGGGCGTGTGAAGAACCGATTGGAGATTCGATATGATCCATGATATACAATTTCAGATTCTAAATAAAATTGCAATATGCATCGCAAATAGATATCGCAAATAGATATCGCAAATAGATATCGCAAATTGTAAATAACATGTTAACAAAAAAATTGTTAAAAATTTTTTTACATAAATTTTAGTTTGAAGAAATTGTCAATCTATATAATCTATTTCAATTCATAGAATTACGTGTGTGGTCGCAATAACAGACAGTATATGACTGACTTTTTCATTTTATGAAATAAGATCATCACCGTAAACTCGCATTTTAACGAGCTAAATTCATTCGAGTGTGTAAAGGACTAAAGGAGAATACAACTTTTACTTTTGTGCGACCGGGGATTGATTTATTTATACACTTTATATGTTTTTCTTCATAAAACTGAAAATTGTAAGAATAACGCTACATCACACTCAAGGAAAAATTGATATATTGAAAAAAAATTAATAAAATCCTAATAATTTATATTGTTACGAAATTACTGTCAGTTAAGCCCGATCTACAATTGCGTAAACGTAGTTGTAAATGGTTGTGAAATGTTGTAAAGCGAAGTTTTAACCTGCCATTCCCGGTTGTAAAGCATGTTGTAAAAGATGGTTCAACTTTATCTTTCACGACTACGACTGAGCAATTGCTCTGCGAGTTGTTTTTGTGTTTGTGAATCGTCTTCGTCCAACAATGCTTGCAATTCTACATCTTCGTACCTTTTTGACGGTTTTCCGTGTTCCTTGTCTACAACATCGAAATCACCACTTTTGAAACGCCGAAACCATCGTTCACACGTATCTTGCGATGGAGCATGTTCACCATAAACTTCTCGAAGTAATCGGTATGATTCAGCAGCAGTTTTCTTCAAATAAAAACAAAAAATTAATGCTGTCCGCGAATGTTCTTTATTTGGCACAAATTTCGACATAGTGAACACAGCAAAACAATACTATGCAAACACTTTTTCAATTTATCACTTATGCGCGTTTGACACTTTGATGGCACAACAAAATGGCATATACGTCAAATCTTTACTACACACTGCATTGGTGCACCATCTGTTGTCTCAAATCCGCACTTCATACTTGTACACCTGGTAATCTATTAAAATTAAAAACCAATAATGTGTAAATACTTTCTGAAATAAATTTTTCCCATACTTATAGAATATTAAAAATATAACAAAATGCAGATCAAATATTGACGATGAGATTTTAGATTCCTTAATTGCTACTAAACAATTCATTAAAGACAATCCACAAATACTGCTAACGCGTGCAGACAAAGGAAATGTCGTCATAGCTATGTATGGACAAATTTGATTATATTAATAAAACGGAAGCTTTATTATCAGACACTGATACCTATACACTTGTGTAATCCGATCAACAAAATATTGGGTGATCTAAAATCATTGTTAAAAACTTGGAAACGACAAGAATTTGACCGACTATATATACAATTATCTTATGGGGGGATCCTGGTTTACAAACTCAAAATTTTCGATTTTTTTCATAAATCGATAATAAAATTCATGAAAATATAGTTCCTGAAGGAACAAACTGAAATTCGAAGTATTTAAATAGATACAGCTGATGGAACAGGAACGCTTCACGCAGGTATACGGTCGCGCAGCAGGAGAACTGGCGTTCCCACGATCTGTTTTCTGTTTCTGCCCTTGCTACTCTTGAACTAGTGTACACTGGTGTAATAGGTTAGAGAGAAGCAAAATATACTTGTCTCACTCTAAAGTAGAAAACAGACCGTCAGGGCTGGGCACATTTCAAATACTTGTATTTGAAATACAGTATTTGAAATACAAATACTATTTTAAATACTGTATTTCAAATACAATACAAAATGTATTTTATATTTTGTATTTCAAGAAGGTTATTCAATGTATTTTGTATTTCAAATATTTTGTATTTGAAATACAAAAAAAATCCTTAATAATGATCCTTGACAACAATAATAGTAACTTAAATTTTTTTTTCATATAACAGCGATACTGATTATTTTCGTTAACTTTCATGCAGTGTCAAGTCATCAGTGTTATCAAATCTTGTAATCTCGCACAAAAAAATAAGTTTCTCGTAAAGATTCTCGTGCGGTTGGTAACATAGAACAATAGAACTTTTAAAGAGTACAAGAGAGTGAAGCCCCAGACACAATGCGAGGAAACAGCCATAGTGAAGAATAATATGATTTTAACCTATCAGAAATTGTATATTCCGGTGTATCGCAAACTGTTTGTGGCAAGTGTGAAGTGATATTGTTGTTTTTTGTTCAATTATTATGTTACCAATGTTCTCAATGTTTCCTGCCAACTTTTGTTTCGAAGGATTATACTGTATTAGAATTATTTTACTGTAATGTTTAATTATATTTGCTTATTATTCTAACAATCAGAATCGTATAATTTTTCTTCACAGTTTCGATACTATCACAATATTTTTATAGCGATAAATTCGTACGATTTCATTATTTATGTTATCATCTATATTATGTTATCAAACAGCTTTATTAATTTTTTATGATAAGACACATAATGTCGGGATATTTATGAGAAATAACTGAAACAGATTAGTTACTTTGTTCTAGTCTTACTTTGTGTATTTACAATAAAAAATTTATAAATGTTTTGTATTTTGTATTTTAAAGTAATATTTTGTATTTAAAATACAAATTTTAGAAGTATTTTGCATTTTGTATTTCAAATTGAAAAATCAAAAGTATTTTGTATCTTGTATTTCAAATACTAAGATTGTCAGTATTTTGTATCTTGTATTTAAACTACTAAGATTGCCACAGTATTTTGTATTTTGTATTTCGAATACTTTAATGATGTATTTTGCCCAGCCTTGCAGACCGTTAACCTCGGAGTCTTGTATAGAATTTATGGCGATCAGTCTAGCCACGACCCCTTCAGTTAGTTTGGACGTTAGAAGACATTCGAAAACGACAAAATGTATTCAAAAGCAATGAATGGACAGTCTAAATGCGCATCAATTGTATTATATGAAGAAGCGGAAGACTTAGTATATGGGCCTGACATGACAGATTAGCATCTAATTGCTGTAAGTTTGCAATAACTATAATTTTTTCGTATCGAAAACTTTAAACGCGTTTTTCTCGAAACCACGTTTTTCAAGTTTATGTAACGTCTCAGAAAAAAAGTATTTGACTGATTCACTTTTTCCAAAGCTTTTTAATTAGCTAATAACCTGCTGTCCTCGTTGAACTAAAAACGTTTTTAAAAAATGTAACTAAACAATTTTTTTTTCATAAAGAAGTAAAAAATTTCTCGTAAAAATTGTAATTTTTTTTTAAACTCATACAATTTCTTTAATTCTGCACTTTTTTTTTGTTTTCTTAGTTCATTTAGGATAAAATTTCATGAAGATTAATAAAAAATTTTGTTTTTTTATTTCAGATAAGAATTAGATAATACAAAATGACAACTCCGGCTGCACGGCGGTACGAACATTAAAATATAGCAATGTAAAATAATGTTTTTTTTTATATAAAAAAATATTTTTGTATTGTCTATAGATGTCATAAAACAACCCTAAAATTTTGTATTGATCCGCTTAATGATTACTGAGAAAAAAATTCGCGAAAATCGTCGTTTTTTCGGTATCCTAAATGAGGTTTCCCCCTTAATTCGACGAATGCAATATTACCGAAGTTATGCATTACCAAAAATCCATAAGACAGGCAACCCCTTACGAATTATTGTATCATCCATAGAAAGCCCTTTGCATAATTTAGCGGCGTATTTACATAGAATCTTAGACTCATGCCTTGAAGAACCGATGGGACATGTCAAAAATAGCTTTCAATTAGCTAAAGACATATCTCAGATACACTTATTGGACGACTCAGTCCTTGTATCACTCGATATTGTCTCTCTTTATACTAATGTCCCTGCAGATCTGGTCTTTGAGAGTGTAGAAAATCGTTGGTCAAACATATAAGATAAAATTAATCTACCTAAAATTGAATTCATTAAAGCAATAAAGTTAGTGCTCGATTCTACGCGTATTTCGTTTTTAACAATAAGTATTATAAACAATCTTTCGAAGTATCTCTATGAGGTCTCTATTATCTCTTATTACAGCGAATTTAGTTATGCAATATTTAGAAAAGGTTTCTCTCAATAAATTAAAATTTACTTTAGAATTTTACTACGAATATGTAGACGATATTGCTCTATCCATTCAGGAACCAAATATCGATGAATTATATAATACTTTCGACGATTTTCATCCCAGATTGAAGTTTACAGTGAAATTGGGGGGCGACAAATTAAATTTCTTGGATCAAACTTTAATTAGATGTTAAACTTAATTTCTGCCGCTCGCTACTAGAGGGTACTAGCTCCAACGCTGGCGAGTTTCGACGATGAACATATCTATATTATAAAATATCTTTCATCTGTATTCAATACCTGAATAAAAGCCGATTTTCCTTGCTTCACTCACTGTTGGATTTGCAATCTGAGGTCTGATTCTCGGATTCCTGCGAATTTCTTCCCCCAGGGGTTCCATTCTCGAATCTATATAAAAAATTTTCGCATACGAAAGTGACGCTATGCGTTCATTGGTTGTTATATATACCATTTAGTTGTCATTATGTCAATCAGTGAACGCGTAGCGTCACTTTCGTATGCGAAACTTTTTCGTAGGAATCGTTTTTCGTAGAAAACCTCTGATTGCAGTCTGACTGTGAATGAGGCAAAGGAAATCGGAAATTTACTCAGGTATAGAGTTCAATAATATATTAGGTGTTGAAATTAATTCCTGCCGCTCGCTACTAGAAGGTGCTGGCGAGTTTCGACGATGAAGTCATATGTCTTTTGTAGTTTAGACATCGCTGAAAGTAATTCAATCCTCACAGGTTAGATTTCTCGACGCCAAAAAGATTTTCCAATCGATTGAAAATGAATCGCGATAAGCTGTTTTTCCAACATGTGCTGCTTCACTACTTCGACCTCAAGAAAACCGCAGCTGAAGCGAATCGCTTATTATCCGAAGTGTATGGTGATGAAACTCCATCGGAAAGAACATGTAGAGTTTGGTTTGAACGCTTCCGAAACGGTGATTTTGATGTGAGAGACAAAAAACATCCAGGACAGCTGAAAAAATTTGAAGATGTCGAGCTGCAAGAATTGCTTGATGAGAATCCAGCTCAAACGCTTTTAGAGTTGTCGAAACAGTTAAATGTTATTCCAAAGGCCGATTGAGTGACGAATTGATGCAAAAAAGATTATCCGTAGCCAACA